TCAAGTGATTTGGAAAGCAAGGCAAAGTAAAAGCCTACTGGAACCACTCTACTGGTCCTCTGTCCCATAGGCAGAAGAAGATCAAGAAGACCTTGTAAAATAAATGAAACCTTTTCATTTGCTTCATCATCTACGATCTTCTCGTCAGTACCGTCCCAGTACTGGCGTGTTTTTTCGGAAAGAATCCATTTGTTGGCATAGAAGACGATGATCGGGTTCACATACTTTTCTTTCATACCTTGTCTTCTCAGGGATCCCACTACTCTTTTGAAGAATTCAAATGGTAGCCCTATAAGGTCCTTGATCCAAAGATCATGGCACAAGATTTCTTTTACCATTTCACAGCTCCAAACCTGACTTGCCAACGCATCTATAGTTACGACTGGTTGGTCTCGTCTTCTCTCGGGGTCAAGGATCTCCATACAAGCCATGAAGGCAAGCGATTCAATGCAACGGCTTACAATTAACAGATCCTCAGACCAGGGAAGCAATTGTTGGCACTTTTGGAGTACGATTAGTGTATCGTCCCAGCTTTGAAAGACCACTTGATTCATATAGATATCGAACCGCTCACATAGATTACTGGAACAATAATTACCTGTCATTTCAAGAAACTCTGCAGCGCAACGGAGGGCTGCTACGTTAAAAGGATCTACAAGAGTAGACGAGCCATAGACAAACAGTGCTAGTAACTCAAAGGTTTCTGGTCCTCCGGGAAAGTCCGATGGGAGCTCATACTCGGTCGATTCATTCAACCTTTTCTGGAAATATCCACTCTTTGACAGGAGAGGATGCTGCAGAGTAACAACAGACATGCCTAAAGTTTAATACTCATTTCTTTCTCATGGGTGGAGGCAAGGAGATGAAGGAAGGAAAGAAATAAATAAACTTCACTGATATATTTCCCAAATTATCTTTACCTTGTGTAGGTTGAAAATCCTATCACCAACTCGAATCCGAACAGAAACAGGCAAACCAGTTTCTTGACTCCTGAGACATAATCAATCCACTTAATCAGAAAACAAGGCAAAATCAAAGATGAAACGATATAATCTAAAAAAACAGTGAGAATCCAACCATGAAATGATCTTGATCTTGAGCAAAACCCCGATATTCGGTGAAGTGAATGGACTCGAGGCCACTGATCTGACTTTGGGGCTGATCACTTCCATCAACAGAGCTCGCTCCTAAAGGACCTTCAAACCAGAATTAATGAAAGTTTCAGAGAGATAAATGAGTTGGGAATTCTCTAAACTGAAGCAATTTCCTATAGTGAATAATGTCACGCCTTCTTATGGCCATAAATGGCAGACACCCATCTCAGGAATCGAAGAAATAAGAACAGCCAAAGATTTTAGGAAAGTGTCCAAGTTTGTACACATATATTCGTGCAGTTTTTATTCATTCCAAGTCAAAAGTCAAATGCACACGAGTGTAATCTCCATACCCATATTATATGGCTTCAAAAACGTTCTCGGTTGCTGAAAACTTGAATTCTTGAACTTCTAAAACGCCTTGGCCATTAGAATAAGGTTAGCCTTCTCCCTCTTTTCCTTGTCATGTGAACCATATTTTGGGTTCTTTTCGTCGCTATCCTCTTGTATTCCTGCATTATTATATTGTTTTTTTGCATTTGAGTAGGTGAATCAGATCTGACGGGGAACCACAACCTGGAAAAAAGAACCATAAAATGAGAATAGAAATTAAACAAGAATTAGAAAAGAGTTGAATTATGGAAGAAGTTTCATGGCAAACGGCAACATACCCAAGACGGCACGGCTTGGGAAAATGCCTTGGAAAGAGGGCGGCGCTTGCTTCCCCGCAGCATGTTTCTCAATCCCAAGGCTTGCTTTTGTTAAGTTCGCTGCAGAGTGAGATACCTGTACAACTTCATTTTACGCTACTAATTATTACTTCAGAGGCAAGATTCCTTCTGTCATCCATTAAACATTGAATGCAAATCCACAGAAATGTATAATACAATTTGAGAGTTCAACCAAAAAACTACACATTTCTTGAACGATGAAACTGCCATTCCATGATTCCAGTACTTGAGATCCCAGTTCTTTGTAATTGAAAGCTGGAAATTGATCAAATCAACGCTTACAGAAATTAAGTGCAGAAGTGATAGCCACGGCATCATAGGAGCCATATTTTAAGACTCCATGATTATCAAATGGGCGGTTCATCAGCTTTGAAATATCCAAGAAGTTTAGGAACCTCTTAACAATGACATTGAACAGAAGGGATTTTCAAGACAGAATAGTTATAATTCATGAAGCAGTTCTATTGATTGGAAAAATTAAATCACCAAGCATGATTAGAATCTTCTTTAACAGAAGGTGACCTTGAGCCAAAGCTCCCATCTCTAGCAAACCTAGACAAACTTCTCCCACTTTTAGGCGTTGCAGAACTCGGGCTTCCACCTCGGTAACTGGCACGGAGGGTTTCATCAAATGAAGATGACGACTTGGCAATTGCATTCCTTACAAACTTCTGGGCGGCTGGAGAGAGCGTCCTTCGAACACTTGGGCTAGCACTTCCTCCTCTAACAGGTGATGGCAATGGTGGCTTCTGAAACATCTTTGATTTCTCCCTTAGCTTTCGTGCAGCCTCCCTTGAGAGTGAATGAGCCTTCTGATCTCGAGCAGGTGGACATGGAATATTAAATCGTGGCCCATCAACAGTACCACCGATGTCGATAGGCGTCTCCTCAGGATCTAGTCTTAAGGGTGTACCTTCAATTTCACCCCATGTAATAAATGGAGATTCATCAACACCAGGGGCAGGGGACGGTGTACGGACAAAACTGTAGCCATTCTCAGCCTTCTTCCCCGATTCTATATAAAATGGATTTGGGGTCTTCCTTAAATCCCCCAAATCGTACTTCTTCAATCGATCCCCATCTCGATCCATCACAGGATGTGGGGTAGTTCCAGCCACAGGGGTATAGAGCACTTCAACTGTACCATCGTCTTTTGGTCTCGCATCGATCAATTTACCATGGAACCGAGTGCTTGCTCGGCTAATTTCTTTGGTTAAGCCCTTCAATCTAACAGCCCTTTCTTCATCTGTCAGTGGAGCCTCACCTCTATCGGAAGGATGATACATCAACAAATTTTTTGCAGTGTAGTTCCATCCTTCCAAGGTACTCGGCGGCTGATCGGAGGTCCCATAACCATCGGTTATTCTATCTCTCTTTACATCCTCAATTGATTTCACATCCTCCTTCTCACCCTCCGTCAAATACGCGTATCTCTCCTTCCTCTTCCTATTATCTTTGTCCAGAATTTTTGAAAAACTTAAATTATCCTGGCTCGTATATTGCCTAAAAAACTCATCAAGCGACAGCGATTCATCCATCACCTTGCCGTTACAATCACCCTCCTCCGTTTCACCAGAAATTCCACTTCCGCCAACGCCGGGGGTTTTCGGTGTTTTGCCCTCAAATTCATCAAACGGAGTAAAATTTCTCATAAAAGTGGAACCAGGTGTTCGGGACTTACCATCAGGATTCAAACGTTTGACCTTCTGGCCACGACGCTCCATGATCTTCAACTGCGCATCTCGAATTAGAATCGGATCTCCACTTTTAATCGCTTCAAGCCAATCCATACGATCTCTGAGTTTCGAAATGTCGGGAAAGTAATCACGCTCAATAATCTTCTCAATCGCTTCCACATAAGTATCCTCGTCAAGAACCTCGGGATGTTTCCTAGAGCTCTGAGGCGTAATCGAAGACGAACTCCGCGGATTCTGGATCGAATTCTCGGAAACCGTCGACGGCGAAGGGGATGAGATATGCCGGGGAGAACGACCCGGAGAAAGAAGCATGATCGAAAAGCTAGATTAACAAATTCCGATCGAAAATCCAAAAGAAAATTCAACGACCTGAAATCGAAGAAGATCGGGAAAAATTATGCCTTCCTCTAGGGCTTGGAATATCATGATCTTTGTTAAACGAAGCAAAATCCAAAGCTGTCACCAACCCATCGGCCAATGGTTTTCAACACGTGTGAATTCCACATTAGCACGTGACTTAATTTTTTTTTTTTTTATTGCTAAAAGGCCCTCAAGCTTTGAGAAATTGCAGTAATTTTCAATAAAATTTTGATTATTTAAAAATTATAATGCTTTCGAAGATATTAAGGTTTGAGGCATGAACTGCCTCTCTCAACTAACTGTAACTGTTCATATTGTACGCTGAAGAACACAAGCCATGCTCCTTCTCTGCTATAAATTCACCAAAAATCTCATGAACTCAAACACAGTTTTCAAGCTTCTGATCTAACCCCATATGGCTGCTCCCTGGTTTTTCGTTCTTCTCTTCTTCGTCGGAAAAGCTCAGGCCACACCGATCGACCAACCCGACCTGCAAGCAGCCATGGATGACATGATATCGAAATCTTACCACGGGTTTGTCATACTACTCAAGATCCTAAACAGCTCCCATAAAGACTGGCAAAATTCGGAGCTAACCTTCTTCATGCCCCCTGATCAGGAACTTTCTCGAGCTGCTATCTCCCCCGAACGAATACACGATTTCGTTTTAAGCCATTCTATCCCCACTGCATTACTGCTCAACAATCTTCTACACTTCCCAAACGGCAGCCTGGTTCCATCAAGCATCCCGAATCGAATGATCAGGATAACCAACTGCAGAAAGATGAGCGTGTGCGTGAACAATGCACGAATCGTCACCCCAAACGTGTGCTTAAACTCATCCATAAGATGTCATGGTATAAGCACGACTATGACATATGACCGAACTTCCTTTTCAGACACTTACCTGCGAAGCAGAGTTCGGCCGAAACTATATCTCAAGCGAAACGAAAAGAAAGCGGAAAAATACTTACAGTCTGCAGCAAAGAAGATGAACCGTCCCCTGCACTGAATCCATCCGCCCCGCCATCACCACGAACCTTTCTAATAAGGCATAGTAGTTTGTTGTAATGTTGTCGATTTCATTATTGTTATAAACAATCTACTTAAGTTCGAGATAATAGAAGCAACGAATGACTTGATTACGTTAGCGATATGAGTATCGAACGATGTAGAAAGAACAGCTTCATAAATTATCAGACAACAAACGAACATAACCGACAACGTTTTGATTTACACGACGTTGAGCTCCTAAGAATTCTCATTCATTTAGCAGAATCAGGCTTAGAGGAACTGTAGAGAAGATCTTGAATTTTAGAATACAAAAGCATCTGGGATGGATCAGCTCCACCACTACTACTTTCTTGTAGCTTAATCTTTTCGAGCAAGTACTGTTTTTCGGCCTCGGCTTCGTTCAGACGTTGTTTCAGGTAATTGCTAGCGTATTCTTCCTCGGACTTGTCGGTTTTTGCAAGAGAAATCCTCTGAAGTCTCTCCGCCTCTCGTTTCGCCTCGTTCGCCTTAAGTTGAAACATATCAGCTTCTGCACATTTAAGCCTAACGATTTTCTCCAGTTCTTCGATTTGTAGCTTCTTTCTCTGTCGGTCGAGCTTTATCTCAGCTGCTTCCTTCGCCTTATCTTCAACCTCGCGGTTAAAGACCTCGACATCCATACGAGCCTTTTTCCAGCTTCTCATCTTCTCATTAGCAACAATTTCCATCTTTTTTATAACCTCCTGCACCACTTCTGCAATTCGGTTGCACGCTTCCTGTGGAGCGGCTAACCTTCCCTCTTCCCCGTTTTCAAGACTACTTATAGCATCCGTCTCGTTCTCTTCATTAAGACCAATGACATTAGATTTCTACGACGGTTACTAGTAAAAGTGCATAGCCACCAAGTAGATATGACTAGAAAATGGCTCATATACCCGGATAAAAGAAACACGAAACACCGAAAAAAGCTACTTTCAAATAATCTCAGCTCATTCGAAGCATACCAAAGACGGGTTATATCTACTATCATCAAACAAAACCAAAAATATAAAGACGTTATCGATACATACCTCGAAAAAAAGTCAATATTGCTCGGCACGCTGCTGTCGACTCCAAAACTCCACTCTTCATTTTCTCTTTGAGTTCTTCACATTTCGAAAAAAGTTTCCTCCCTCCATGGTCCTCGCTTGCACGAAAAATTCTACCGACAAAATCAAGCTCCTTGACGAGAGACTCCTGATCCCATGAAGGTGCACAATGTTGAAAAACGTCTCTAACCCAACCAAGTAGCTCAGACGTCCGATGGCAAGCTGGGCATTTGAAATGCATTTCGGTTCGCGTTGTCCCGATTCTTACAGAAGAGCCCACGCAGATCTTTCCATCACGAATTGCACAATCCGTGTGAGACCAATGAGAACACAAGTCACAACCGATCCATCGACATGTGTTAACTTCAAAATCGAACTTGTTGCATATTACACACATACAGAGATTGCAGAAACCGTTTCGACCGGTACATATCTCACAAGTGCAGTCATCAGCTGGAAGCTGGTTTTGACAAGCAATATTTCGACACCTCTTATACAGAAAAACCTCGACGAGCGTAGTCTGAGAGAGGCTAATATTTGGATGCAAGAACGCTTGAATTCCAGTATTGATGGCAACTAGAATTTCGAGCTGCACCCTATGAGCCATAACCAATGTCTTTGCAGTTAAATCGGTTCTACGTTGAACGAGCTTCTGCAAAATAAAAATCTCGTCGATCTGTTGCGCACCACCATTTCCATCGAGAATAATTCGAAGTCCACTCTTCAAATTGTCTAGAAAATCCTCTGGTAAGCGATGCATCTTTTCTGCGATTAGCTCAATTCTGTCTCGTGCTATGTCACGAAGGGAGACTTTATCAGAACTAGAAAGACGATGAACGACCGACTGCTCCACGAAGTCGTTATCTGCCTTCCCATTTTCCATTTTCTTTCCCATTACTCCACCAATAGGCCAAGTTTCCTGAGAACTAGCACTCTCAGCAGGAGACTCATGAACTTGTTCGGAATTAGACCTCGGTACCTCAGGTGATAGTCGAGTATCTGAGGGAACTAACGCAAGAGATGTCTGCAGTCCCTCTGGCCGTGACGGTTGACGTGTGGGAATCATCTTGGATGCAGGCTGGTGATGAATGTTGGAACCAGATGAGGCAACCATTAATCTTACTGTAAAAAGGAAAAAAAAGCGATGAAGTTAACCATGGCAGAGACAGTGCCATAATTATAGTTACAGGATAGATTTCACAAAGAAAAGCCCTTCCCGCAATGCACTCAGGGAGGGAGAAGAAAGAGTTTGGGATTCCATGTGAGATCCGACATATGGAGGAGAACGAAACACCCTTTATAAGGTTGTGGAAACCACTCCCTAGCATTCACGTTTTAAAAACCTTGAGAAGAAGCCTGAAAGAAAAAGCCTAAAGAGGACAATATCAACTAGCCATGAGCTTTGACTGTTATAAATGGTATCAAAGCCAAACATCAAGCGATTTGCCAGCGAGGAGGCTAAGCCCCAAAGGGGGGTTGACACGAGGCAGTGTGCCAATGTTGGCCCCGAAGGGGATGGATTAGGGAGTCCCACATCGTTTGGAGGAACGAGTGCAAGCGAGAACGCTAGCCCCAAAGGAGGTGGATTGTGAGATTCCACGTTGGTTGGAGAGGAGAACAGAACACTCTTTATAAGGCTGTGAAAACCTCTCCCTAGCATACGCATTTTAAAAACGTTAAGAGGAAGCTCGAAAGAGAGGACAATATCCACGACCCGGTTCCGAAAGAAATAGAACCACAAGCAACAAACCCAGTTCAAAACTAGAGCAACAACAACGTAATTACAACTGAACACAGAACCCAGATCTCCAAGCATCGCCGGAACAAAAGCTCAAGAAACGTTTTAAGATAAGACAAACATGCCGATCTCCCACAACACCCAAATCCTCACTATAAGTTCATATCTAAGTAAGAAACAGAATCAAATGAAAATTCAAAGATCAAGCAGGAACTTCCCAACTCAAATACAGAACCAGAAAGCTAAGACAAGAAGAAAGAGTGCTCACCCACCAAACGAGTTCAATAATCTTAGCCGATAAAAGCCGCGATAAAGGTCAGAAATCAGAAAGGGTCGAATTAGGGTTCATAATGAGGTAGCGTAGCTTGCAATTTCAGAGCCTTGAAGATGAAAGACAAACGAGGGGCGGTAGAGGTTCGAGTAGCGAACCCTTACAGAGAAGAAACAACAAAGGCGGGGTCTTGGCGAGTAGAAATGGACCAACTAGGGTCAGCACAGGGTTCAACGAAACGCCTAAATTGTGTTTTTTTTTTCCCATAAAAATAAATAATTAAATAAGGATGTCGTTAGATTTATTTAATATTTTCTTTCGGAGAATACGACAATTAAATATTTCTAATAATTAATTTCATATAAATTTGAATTTGGTTTTTTTTTTCTCTAAATTCGTTAATTATTTACTCCCATATTTTTAAATTTAATTTTTGATTTCTTAACGCTTCATTTTTCTTTTTCTTTTTTTGGTAGTTGTTCAGATCTTTCTGAGGAAAACTTCGAATATAGGTCTTCCTTCCTATCATAGTCTTAGCTTATCGATAGATCTTCTATGACCGGTCCACAACCTCTAGATACCAAAGGCATCTACCTTTTCTCTAAACACTCATCGTTTAGTCTAGTAATGGTTCGGATGTTGATTCAAAGTCTTCCTCTTAAACCTCTGGTTCGGATGGTTCGAAACACTCAAAGGCATCTACCAAAGGCATTCTTGGGGCAATCTTGTTGTTTTCTGGTTGGAAAAGTCTTCCTCCTAGAGGAGACACACTGACACGTTTCGGAGAGAACCAGATTATTGAAAAAGAGGTACAAACTATTCCAATTGATGTAAATTGAGTAAAACGAGACAAGTCGTTCAAAACGAGAGATTTATCAACCAAAAACCAAAAGTTTAAAGAAAATTAAAACTGTACAAGTGACTTCAAGACTATTACTTACAAAATGTCCGGACCATCATCAATAGAATACATATATATTGATCACAATAGATATCAGTTCATCACACACTATTCATTCTCAAGTGGGGAGAAAAGCAAGCAAATAAACTATAGATGAAGGGTGGTATCAACATCAACATCAACATCTGGAGTATCAAAACTTCTGAACGTAATGGGTATCAACTTGGTGTCACCAGGCATCAACCTGCCTTCATAGCTATCAACTTGCTTACCCGCATTACCCAAATTCAGGCCAAGTGAGAGGGAATTGAAGGCCAAGTCTCTTGAGGTTGACAAGCTATTTGAACCGGATAACAGCTTAACAACCTCCTTCTCCCTCCTTACCTTCTCTTTCTGCAACTGCCTGAACCTTTCTTGTAACAAAGCTATGGAGGTACCAACCATGGCGGGCTCACTACTATGCCTACTCATCTGCATAACGCTCAAAAGGGTCGATGACGACGGTCGAGTTTAAGCTGCTGCAACTGCTGGAGAATGTGTACTTATAATAGGATTAGAATGTTTTGGTCTTATCATACAGAGGAGAATCAGCTGCCTTGAAAGCAAATCCAAATAGCAAGAGTTTAATGCGGCTCTAGTGAGAGTTGGGTTGGTGAATATTTTAGGGAAAAGGGGTTTCGATTGAAAGAAAATGTGTGTAAAAAGTCCAAACCAAAGATGGATGGTAGCGTTTGGAAGGAAGCTTGAGGAATAATAGGTTAGGTAGTGGTTTGTGTCATTTAGAACAAAGAAGATGGAGCATTTGTGACAAGGAATCGCTACGTAAGATTTGAATTATCTCATTGATCGAATGTCTCAAGACAAGAACAATAGATTGAGTTTTGTGTCATTCCACAATATAATCCGAATCTTATTCCCCTTGTAGTGATTCCTTACCTTATCAATAAACATGCATTCTAAACTATATAGAAACGGTAAAGTAACTTGGTTCTTGAGAAAAGAAAAGCAAAAAATAACTTCGCCTCAATATAATACATGAAAGAGAAGGACAATAATACACAATTAACAATGATACAATTATTAAGGGGAGGGAGGAGGAAGATTACCCATCTCAGCTAAACATGTCCTTACTGACCCAAATCAATATCTGATCCCTTGGCCCCAGAAGCTTCAAATTGCCTCATGAGTCCACTGAATGATGGCTATCAACATATTCTGCAAAAAAAGTTTAAAAATATATATGGTTATCGACAGTGTGCACATCTGAGAACATTGCAGAGTTTGAAATGATATGAACATGTACAGTTGAGAGCATTTGAGGATGGGAAATGGCATCAGGTAAATTGGTTCACATATTGGATCCCATAATACCAAGGTCCATTATTATATTGGAAGCTTGAGAACACTGGTTGTTCAAATAAGTAAGTGAATCACTGTCCTGACAACCTCGTCAGCCAACATAATATGTGTCTGGAAATTGAGAGTGCAATTTCTGGACTCCATGACATGAAGAAGCTTCAAACTCAAATCAAATTTCCCTTTCCTTAAGTAATCCATCAACAAACACTGTCCAGACAACCTCGTCAGTTGTAGGAACCAATCCATCAGCCATACGTCTTGTGATATAGACCAATTTGCAACCACAAACTTCCCATCTAGTGATTATAATAAACCAGTGATTAGCGAAGGTCTTCAGCCTCACTAGAACGACCGGCCATCACATAATGAAACAATTGGAATGGTGTATGTATGCGTATACAGTTGCCACAATCCCCTTCTCAACCGTTTCTTCAAACAAACTTGATAAAGGTTGAATACCCCAAATCTAAATTTCGATTTCATCAAAGATGTTGAGTCCCACGTGGGATAATTTAGCGGAAGATAATGGGTTACGAGTGAGAATACTATCTCCATTGTTACGAGGTCTTTTAGGGAAGTCCAAAGCAAAGCCACGAGAGACAATATCATACCATTGTGAAGAGTCGTGATTTTTAACATGGTATCAGAATCATGCCCTAAACTTAGCCATGTCAATAAAATTCTCAAATATTGAAAAAGAATGGTGAGAATTGTGAGCCTCGAAGGTGTAGTAAAAAATGAATAGAATGTCGAACAAAGAGGTGTACTTTGTTCGAGGACTCCAAACAACGGAGTCGAGCCTCAATTAAGGGTAGGCTATTCGAGAGCTTTATAAGCCTTAAGAGAGGCTTATAGTGTACTTTGTTCCAGAGGAAGATTGTTGAGGATTATTGGCAGTGAGTCCTACGTTGATTAATTTAGTGAAAGATCGTAGGTTCATAAATAAAATATCTCCATTGGTACAAGATCTTTTGAAAGATCAATTCGAAGATGAATCAGCAGAAGGGTATAGAGACGTTTGAATCTTTAAGAATACGAGATTACATAAACAAATTATAATTTCATCTTATTCAACTTGGATAAATTTTAAATTTTGTTCCCATGTCTCATAAATTTTTAGATTTTAAAAATTATAAAATGTTCCTATGTCAAATTTCAAATTTCGGAGCTTTGATTCTACTACTTGATAGTTCTATACACCATGATCGTTCCCCTTATTTAGCCATCTCAATCAAATTAATATAGATCCAGAATGATATAGTTGACTCTCATACTCAAATTGATGAAATTTCATTATCTTCGAAGTATCATAGGATGGGAAATTTGTGGAATTTGGAAGACCAATGTAACAATTGAATAGAAACAGCCATGCAAATTATTTAATTGTTAATTAGTTTGTAGGCAGAGCATTTACTTGAGAAATGTTAAATATATATAGATCTTAGAATTCAATTAAAACTAGGGCACAAAAAAGGTATTTTTTTTTCCTATTTATTAAATTTTGTTTTATTGGAAAATTAAAAGCCGCGAAAAGTTAGGGTTTGCCACTAAGATTCTTTCCGCCTCCGTTTTGATAATCACAACCAAACCAGAATTCATCTTGGAAAAGTAATCAATCGGTACCTAACCGTTATCGAGTGTTCAGCTCTCATTGCGCTTTTCCATTAGGGTTTTTACTCAGATTTAAAAGGAATTAAAGGAATCGAAATCAAAATCAAACCGAGAAATGAAAAAAGTCGAAGAATCCAGAGCAACTCAGTCCCTTAGATGTTCGTATGATATTGCGATCATATTCGCAAATCATTACAGGTCTGCAAAAGGCTCATCACCGTTGCGAAGAACAAAAATCGTTTGAATCAGAAATTTCAGAACGAAATGAAGAGAAAGCAGAAAGATATAGAAGATGTAGCTACTCCAGTGTTCTCCCAAGCGCTATAAGAGAAAGCAAAGGGAGAGATTGAGAAAAAGTATCACGATCGATATTGCTTCAAGGGAACGAGTCAAATGGGAACAGATCAAATCCGCACTGACCAGATTATGAAGCCTCAAATACATCCATTTCAAAATAAATTCACAAAACAAAGAGAAAAAAACAGGAACGGATCTTCAAAAGAGATCAGTCTGTAATAAATCTGTGACAAAAGAAGAACAGCGATGAAGATGAGAGTTCAGATCTGAAAAGGATAAACCCCGAAGAAGGGAGCTCCGTAAAGCCGTAAAGACGAAGCGAATGATACGAGCGGCTAGAGGAGAGTTTGATTTATATAGCAATGGGGATTGGGCAGCGTGAATAGACGAAGGATCTAGAATTTATTTTGCGCTTAAATTAAAAATATATATCTCTGTTTATAAAATATTTTTTAACTTAAAATTATGTATAAATAATCTTTAAATTTTAAATAATATTGTAAAAAAAAAAAAAAATGCTCCTACTATTAATATACGAGCCAAATTGTATTTAAAAAATAAATTATTAGTCTTAATGAAATTTAATATTTTTTTAAAAATAATTAATATATATATATATTATATATATATATATTTTTTTAAAATAATAATTTATATATATATATATAAATATTTTAAATATCTTCGAACTTTCAAAGGGGTTTTCTTGATCATTAAATCATCTGGGTGTTCATAACGGAGCTCCATTCTTTGATTTCTGGTTCGATCCAATACAATTATGATGCCGTCTCTTACACTTTCACACTCCCTCCAGCCATTTTTCCCTGGCAACCTTCATTTTCCTCTTCAAAACTGCGAAACTGAACGAGAAGCGAAGCAATTCCACGCTCTCTCGCTCAAAACAGGCTCATTGAATCACCCTTCGATATCTCCTCGTCTTTTGGCTCTCTATGCAAATCCCAGAATCAACAATCTCGAATATGCTCAATCCCTCTTTGACTGGATTCGAAAACCCACTTTGGTTTCTTGGAATATGCTCATCAAGTGCTACATTGAGAATCAACGTTCAAATGATGCCATTGCGTTGTTTTGCAAATTGCTCTGTGAGTTCATGCCTGATTCTTTTACATTGCCTTGTGTTCTAAAGGGTTGTGCTCGATTGAGTGCACTACAGGAAGGGAAACAGATTCATGGGTTGATATTGAAAATTGGGATTGGTGTGGATAAGTTTGTTTTGAGTAGTTTGGTTAATATGTATTCTAAATGTGGTGAGATTGAGCTGTGTAGGAAAGTGTTCGATCGAATGGAAGATAAGGATGTAGTATCATGGAATTCTTTGATTGATGGGTATGCTAGATGTGGTGAAATTGAACTTGCACTGGAGTTGTTTGATGAAATGCCTGAGAAGGATAATTTCTCATGGACTATTCTGGTTGATGGGCTTTCTAAAAGTGGGAAGCTCAAGGCTGCTAGAGACGTGTTTGATCGAATGCCTACTCGAAATTCTGTATCTTGGAATGCTATGATTAATGGCTACATGAAAGCTGGGAAGTTTAACACGGCACGAGAATTATTCGATCGGATGCCAGAGAGAAACCACGTTTCATGGAATTCAATGATCACTGGATATGAGCTGAACAAGCAGTTCACTCAAGCCTTGAAGCTGTTTGAGGTCATGTTGACAGAAGATATATCACCCAATCATGCCACTCTCCTTGGAGCTTTTTCTGCAGCTTCAGGATTGGCTAGTCTTGGGAATGGAAGATGGGTTCATTCCTATATAGTGAAAAATCGATTCAAAACAGACGGTGTGCTCGGCACATCGCTGATAGAAATGTACTCCAAGTGTGGCAGCATTAAGGATGCCCTCAGAGTTTTTCAGTCTATTCCCAAGAAGAAATTGGGGCATTGGACGGCTATAATTGTTGGCTTAGGAATGCATGGTTTGGTGGAGCAAACTCTTGAGCTATTTGATGAAATGTGCAGAACTGGGTTGAAGCCACATGCTATTACTTTCATTGGTGTGTTGAATGCTTGTAGTCATGCAGGATTTGCCAAAGAGGCGCGTCGGTACTTCAAAACAATGACAGATGATTTTGGAATTGAGCCTTCTATTGAACACTACGGTTGCTTGATTGATGCTCTGTGTCGAGCTGGATACCTTGAAGAGGCAAAGGATACCATCGAGAGAATGCCCATCAAAGCAAACTATGTAATTTGGATGAGTCTGCTAAGTGGTTCAAGGAAACATGGTAGCACAAGAATGGGGGAATATGCAGCTCATCATCTGATGGATTTAGCACCGGATACTACTGGATGTTATGTTATTCTTTCGAACATGTATGCTGCAACTGGCTTGTGGGAAAAAGTTCGTCAAGTTAGAGAAATGATGAAGAAAAAAGGAATCAGAAAGGATCCAGGATGCAGTTCCATTGAGCATCAAGGTTCAATCCATGAATTCATTGTGGGAGATAGGTCACATCCTCAAACCGAAGAGATCTACGTCAAGCTGCATGAGATGAAAGAGAAGTTGAATGTAGCGGGACACGTTCCCGACACGACGCAAGTTCTGTTATGCCTTGAAGAGGATAATGAGAAAGAAGCAGAACTTGAAACTCACAGTGAGAGGTTAGCAATAGCTTTTGGTCTTCTTAATATCAAGCATGGAAGTCCTATCCGCATTATAAAGAATCTTCGTATTTGTAATGATTGCCATGCTGTGACTAAATTTATATCTGATATTTATAACCGTGAGATCATTATCAGAGATGGTAGTCGATTCCATCACTTTAAAAGTGGGTCATGTTCTTGTAAGGATTTTTGGTGACTTCATCTCTTCTTAGTTGGTGGTAAATCTTTCCTTCCTGCTTGAGCAACTAGCATCATGTTTATCCCGCTGGGAGAAGGAAAGTTCGGAGAAGGTCAAACTCTGGGTGGGTTGCCAGGTTTCGCCTACACTATGTTTTCACAAGATTGAACATTTTTTCTACAACTGATGTAAAGGAGTTCCAGAGCACAAGGGAATGGTCTTTCACTCCTGGGACCGCCTCATCTATGTACTCGGGCCCCTCTCTCGAAGATGCTTGCGCGATATGAGAAAAAAAGCCAGGGTAGAGCCTCGGAGCCGGCCCAAGCGAAGGGAAAGCCATTGAGACGGCAGACTCACCAGTCAGGCACACCGTGAGGCTGACTACAGCAGACCGGGAGGTTACAATTCCTGTTCCTTGTCCTCATGATGCCAGGTAAATTCGACTGTTGCAAGTTAATATATCTTAAGCAATAAGCATAGTAGGTCTTTCTTGGAAAGCTATATGAGGTTTTCAGTTTGAAATTCTTCTTCAACCTCTTATGTTTCCTACGCATCAATCAATCTGTGTTTTTTAGGAAAAAAAAAAAACTGTGAATAGGACGCAACATTTGCCAAGATGCATGCTGAAATTCTATATGTGAAAAGAAGACATAGCACAGAGAACTTTGAACTTTAATGGATGTTTCTACTAGAGAAATTACATCAGCACTAATGGAGTCCACAGCATAAGATTTTCAGGAAACTTAAGAATTTTGAGCATGGTAAAACAGAGTTTTTTACGACACGTTTCTTCATTTTCCGGGGACGAAGTTGGTGGCGTAAGCCCATGCATTGTTGGCAACAGGATCTGCAACATGGTCAAAGAGATTCTCAACAGGACCCTTTCCGGTGACAATAGCCTGGACAAAGAATCCGAACATGGAGAACATTGCCAGCCTTCCATTCTTTAGTTCCTTCACCTTCAACTCAGCAAATGCATCTGGATCATCTGCCAATCCGAGCGGGTCGAAGGCGCCTCCTGGGTAAATTGGGTCTAGTCCTTCACCAAGGGGACCGCCACCAACCCGGTATCCTTCAACAAAGCCCATCAGCACAACCTGGCAAGCCCAGATTGCAAGGATACTCTGAGCATGGATGAGGTTTGGGTTGCCGAGGTAATCTAGACCACCCTCAGAGAAGATCTGAGAACCAGCCTTGAACCAAACTGATTCACCAAACTTGACACCATTCTTTGCAAGGATTTCAGGGAAGACACAACCTAATGCACCAAGCATGGCCCATCGGGAGTGGATCACCTCAAGCTCACGGTTCTTCGCGAAAGTTTCGGGATCGGCTGACAGACCGGCTGTGTCCCATCCATAGTCACCAGGGAACTCTCCAGTCAGGTAAGATGGTGTTTGTTCAGAGAATGGTCCCAAGTATTTCGGGCGATCTGCCCCATACCTGTTAGGTAAAGAAATCAGGCGTTTGAATTACAATTCTGTGTTCTTAGATCACCGATGTATGAAAATTTACTCCTCAATTGTGTTAATCCTCCTACTTAACTGTGCTCACAAGTCAATTCAATAAATGTTTAAACATCTTTAAAATGGACTGTGCTGATTTAACTGATCTTTTTTTAACTTCTCATGTTCATTGCAGGAAAACACCATACATTACTGCACAAGGTAAAAATGGCCAAAGAGACAACCTGGGGCATGAAGATGCAGAAAATAATATCAAGGTACTAATTTTTTTAACAGTTTCGAAACGAGCATCCTCGCGGGGCTTCGAAAGGGTGGATTGTGAGATCCCATATTAGTTGGAGAGGGGAACCAGGTATTCTTTCTAAGAGTGTAAAAACCTCTCCCTATTAGACGCATTTTAAAAACCTTGAAAGGAAGCCCAAAAAGAAATTCTAAAATATCTGCTAGCGGTGGGCTTAGGCTGTTACATTTTAACTGCTAAAACGAGAATGGAAGGGATTTTACCATATGCTCTGTGGAGCACTCTTAACTGTCCGCCGCATGGTGAAGCGGCTGCCACCGAAAGCGCCGACCTTGCGGACAAGCTCATTGGATTGCTTCAAGGCAGTCTGGCCTGCAAAGGCAGATTGTTGGATAGCAGAGGTGGCCATATTTGTGTGTGAAGCTTCTTAAGGGGGGCTGAAGGCTGGCCGGTTTTAGACGAGGACGATGGTAGTGAAAATGGAGGTTATATGGGAGATGGAAAGATATAGTGGATCAGGATTACTACACGTCAGCAGCATCCTATTGGTCCTTCTGCTCAAACCCAGATTCTCATGCAGATAATTTATGGCGTTTCGTGAAGCCAAGTGGCAGCCAAGATATTGGTGGGGCGGCCCCCATAGCCACAAGTACTAAATCAGCTACTTGTAATGAATCAGCTACTTGTAATGGGCTGGACAAACTAGTGAGACAACAAAGCCCATGTAGTGTGGGGCATAGTTCAACGGTCAATTTTTTTTCAAATTTTTTACTACTTTTCTTTTTGTCTATGTTTGAGGCTTTGAGCAAAGATATACTATACGAGAGTAAAAGTGAAGGAAGAGTTCTCCCAACGGTAAAACCTATCTAAAAATGTGAGATCTCACTTGAGTTGGAGAGGAGAACGAAATATTCTTTATAAGAGTGTGAAAACTTCTCTCTAGTAGATACGTTTTAAAACCGTGAGATTGACAGCGATATGTAACGAGCCAAAGTAAATAACATATGCTAGTGGTGAGCTTAGATTTTTACAAATGGTATTAGAGTCAAACACTGATGTGCCAGTGTTCTCGTTGGACTCTTAAGGAGGCTTAGAAGGTGGATTGTGAGATCTGGAAAAAAAAATATTCCTTTCTCTCTAACAGACCCATATGTAATAACTCAAAGTAGACAATATCTGTTAGCGATGGGCTTTGCACTCTTACAAAAAAGAAAACATAAATACTATTTTTAAAATATTATCCAAGTTACTTTACAAATATAACAAATACATTGTTTTATATATCCCTTCCACGAGACATTCAAATAGTTTAAAAAGTCTTTAAACTTAAAATAGAAACATCATGAATTTAGATTTTAATCCTCCATCGTAAATATGTAACCATCTAAGAATAAATGAAGTCGCCCCACTTAAACTAGCCCCTGTTGCATAAATGAAACAACCACAACCCGTCACTTCATGTAACTTAACTTTATCAAGCCCCTACTGCACTATCAATAGAAGCCATGCAAAAAAGAAACAGCACGACCACTGCACTGCGCTTAGCTTGACACCATTGACAACACCACTAGCAAACTCAATCACCACCATCTGCACAGCCAACACACTCGCCAAAAAAAAAATAAACCACGGGCTCTGCAACACAGCCTTAAAAAAAGCTCCGCTATTCGTCACCAGTCCCATAGCAGCAAGCAAATTAGCAATCTGGCAGAGCACAAAGGTATTGAATATCATGGTATGCCTCACATTCTCCTCCATGTGGGGCATAATCTCCCGTCCCAAGTACTCAAATAGCAAGAAAACAAACACTTGACATAGGACATGGATTACAATCTTGTACAGAATGAGTTTAGTTATGAGAGATTGATTCCTATCCCTCCCTTGAAGAGGGGCTTGCACTTCCTCATCATTCAGCTCCATTACCATCATCAAGCCTCCAAGAAGGCACATAATCAAAGTCACCCATATAAGCTGTAATGTGGCTATGGGAGACTTCCCAGAGACCATGGTGCAGACCAAGGTTATCACAAGCCCAGACACTGAAGCAATGAGCTGAATTTGATAGAACTTTTGAATGTTGAGATAAATGCACCTGCTAGATTTTAGTGTCTGGTTCAAGGATGTCACATCTTCACACATGATATCACCAACCATTCTAGATTCTTTACTGCTCCTATGTTCTTGGAGAATCCGAATATCAGCTTCCATCAAAGTTGGAACATCCCTTGATGTCAAATCAGGCGAGAAAGCAACAATGTTCCCCTCAGCTTTCAGTTCTTTTATTAACAGATGCTTGTCTTCTGAGGTTGCCTTTCCCATAAAACTGATGTTCTTCATCAGCTCATGTCTCTCAGTTCCATCAGTCATCATTATTTCCTTAAATCTTTCACCTTCAACCACGTTGTTCTTGAGGTCACACTGAGTTCCAAGACCATTAACCATGTTTATGGCCTCAAAAAGCTCATCTTCTGATATTAGTATGATTCTTGCACCAATGTTTTGGAGATCCCTTAAGGCATTTAGTGTTTTTTCATGTGAGAATTTTAGACCTATAAATCCAAGCAGCTTTGATTCTCCTTCAAACAACTGATCATCATTCCTTCGTTGTTTACAAGCAAATGCAATGGGTCTTAAACCTCTTTGTTTCATCTCTCGAATCACGTTTTCGAATACGTCTTTTTCGTTTTCTATGTCGTGAACTATGCCTCTGATATCATAGTATTGTGAGCACATACTCACAATACTTGATGCATCCCCATAATAATGCACATGAAAAAGGTTCGCTTCTGTATCCATTTCACTACGTTTGCTCACCAATGCTCCAATGCCCTTTTCTGAGCTCAAGAACTTATGATCAATAATGTCAAACTTCTGATCAGGAGCTCCCAATTTGTTTTTCAAGAAATGGACCAGATCATTCCCTAAATGAACAGAAACCTTGGGATCAGAATATAAAATTTGAGCTGCTAGCTCAAGGCTTTGAGAAATATCAGTATGAAACTCCATATCAGAGTTGATCTTTTGTTCTGCAACAAAGAACTCACAGAGCTCCACCTCGTGAAATGATAACTCAGCAGTGATATCAATACAGATAGCAGAAACAAGGCCCAAAGTTCCACAAGCTGATAGATTCAGACAGTTTCCTTTGAGGGATCTCATCTTTTCTCTCCAGAAAGAGAGGGACAGAGTGATTGCAAATGGCATCCCATGCTGTAATCCTATCACCATGGTTAACAGAACAGTAGCCAAGAAGGAAGCTCTCGACCCAAACTTCAAGAACATCCTTTCAAAGGCTTGAACCACAATGCCTGCCGTTAATTTCCCCTTGGTTTCAGGCCTATCATTGTAGTAATCATCATGTTTTTTACATAACAAACGGACTAGAACTACAACAAGAATCGTTAAAGACACTGTAAGACTAAACTTCTCCAAGAATTGATATGGCTTGTTCATCCTAGATTGGAACAGCGTCTCCTGTGTAGGATGAGTAACCAGCTCATGCAACACTTTCCCAGAGGCTGTGTCATGGCCAACAGACACCGCAATCATCTTCCCTTCACCATGTTCAACCACAGAGCCACAAAATAGAAAAGGGTTTCGATTAGGATCGATGTGGGGGTTGATTACTTCATCCAGAAGCAGATTTTTGCCACTTATAAGCAACCCATCTGCAGGAACACGATCGCCCTTCTTCAAATGGATTATATCTCCCTCCCTAACATCAGAAACAGAGACCCTTTGGCATAGTTCAACTCTTTCAACAGTCACTTGCAAGATGTTCTTATTCTTTAAAAGCTCTTTCTCGTCAGCTCTTTTGCGGTAAACGCTTAAGATTGGAGGGAAAAATACAAGTAAGAACACTGCAAGGAGTATACCAAAACCATCATGCCATCCATGTTTAAGTCCTTGTTCTAATGATTCAATGGCAAAAGACAAACCAGCAGCAATTACTAAGAACAAGATTGTCCAGCTATTTAAGGAGTTCCATAAATCACAGCAAAATTCTTTTACAAACAGGAGAAATGAGCCACAGAATCCATACCCACGAAGTGTTTGTGCATCGATCTATACTCGTAAGGAACAAAAATCAAATGAAAAAGAAGAACAACAATTAGTGAAGTAGCTACAAGAAGAAGAGGAAAAAATGGTTACCTGTAGCAGCGATTCCGAACGCAGAAACGAGACAGCCTCCTCTACACCGCCGAAGTCTTTTAGCGCTTTTAAATTCTTCTCTTTCACGATCTTCTTAAGACGCTGCTTCTGGATATCCCTTTCGTCTTCAAAATGTACGTCAATAACCGTGTATTGAGGCGGCGGCGACGGCGAAGGCGGCGGTGGCGAACTGGTTCGCTTCAGGCTGAGTACAAAGCGTATGCTTAAAACTAGTTGCCGGAAGCGAACCAGTTTGGATGCTGTACCAACCAGAAGCGGTTCAGCCCCATCACCGGCGGTTCTTTGAAACATCGCCATGAATCTACCGGAGAAAACTAATGAGCTTTGAAACTTCTACGGCCATTTGTAAGGCGAAGCGGACTCGCTTACAGTAATATCCAATCACTTTCTTCGAAGCTTCCCACTGTTCTTTCGCACCGTTAACTGCAACTACCAAACTACATATAAAAAATATATTTTTTAAAATCTAACAAACTTTCAATAATAATAATAATAATAATACATTTTTAATTTTTAAGGTTGGGGAAAAAAAAAATACGGGAACTTTTAAATTTTGAACTTCAAAAAATGTTCACGAAAAATTACAATAAAAAATTATGATTATTTTTTTAATTTTAAACCATCAAAATTTTACATACTACTCTCAAATCTTCTATATGTATATGTGTCATAATTTGATTGGTTTAATTTCGACATTTTATATAATTTAAAACATTTAAATTACGTGTCATAATTTGATTGGTTTAAATCGAGGAATAGTTATTCTAAGCTTTACCTTTTATGTACTTTAAAAGCACTAAAATTAAAGTAATTGAAAACAACCTGACATGATCTTTACTATATAATTTTTTTTTTTTTTGTTGGAGTTTGATAAAGAATTAAAAAATATATATATTTTAAAATAATTGTGATATTTTTAGTTGAGGGTAAAAAGGGAATTTAAAAAATGAAATCATAAATTTAAAATTGGTTTTGTGTCAGACGCGTTTTGACCGTACGAAATGAGGAGAGCGAAGTCGATATGGGGTTACGTGAACAGATTGAACACTACAAATTTGAAATAACGTTTCAGACAGAATTTACGAAATTAAAATATAAAGAAAAATATAACCACCTTCACCGACACATCGCCTCCTCTTTTATATCTATTTTCGATTTTTTTAAAAATTAATAATAATATTTTTACGTTTTTAAATTAATAATAACATTTTTTACAATTTTGTTGAGTTATAAATTTATTTAAATTAAGCTAAGTGAGAATTTTATAAATTGAGCTAGTTCGTCAGTTGTCAGTTTAATAGAATAAATTCGAATTTATTGATAATTTTAAAATATATATTTTTTTGCTAATGATATAATTATTATTTTTTATTTAACTTTATAATTTTATTATTATTTATTTATGAAAGTTTCAATTAAATAATTGAAACTAAATAAATAAACATTTTATGAATTAATTTTTAATTTAATTAAAAACTAAATTTTAAATAAATTACTAATCGGGTTTAGCCAGAGTTGATTGGATTGAAAAAAAAATTAAAAAATAGGGTGAAGCCTAAAAAATTGTCTCAACCCCCACTCACAAACACCTCTAGTTTTATTGAAATTAGTTAAAAACACAATGCAAAACTTGAAACTAACTTTTAAACATTTAGAAGTTCGAAACTAAAATTGAACAAAAACAACTATTTATTCGTGGGTCCTAATCTATTTTTATAGATCAACCAATCAAAGTTCTCAAATTCCCCAAATCATACTTTGAGGTACAAAACAAGTTGTTCTTTACGAGTTCGTTTTATCCGACCCGAGCTTCGAGCTTCGAGTTCTAAGAAACAAAAAGATCTAGAAGCAATTTTCCCAAGCATGTCTCACAACTGTCAGGTCATTACTGTAGAAGGATCTTGTAAAGATGCACAACAAAGAAAAGTAGGCAAAAAAAACAAAACAAATCCCAATCAAAGGAATTTTGTTTTAGAAACCCTAAGAATTTACAGAATTAAGAAGATGGCAAAGGCAATGGCAGAAGTTAATCCACTAAAATAGGATCATCTTCCACTCTGTTATCATAATCCTCCACTCCCAACATAATGGCAGTCACCATTAACTTCCCTGCTTCAGGAAAATGTTTGTGTTGCATCAGAATTGCCTCTACAGAACCTACACAGTCTTTCACCATAATAGAGCCTTCAAGATTCTCTTGTCTTAGGGGCAATACTGCATCAAATCCTCCTTCTCCAAACAATTCTGCTGCTCCATGTCCATAACATCTGCTTGAAGCTTTGAACAAACCTGTTTCTCTCAGGTTTCTCATTGTCTCTTCATCACTCCATCCTTCGGCAACTGATGCTTCATATAGTTGATTCCAGTCATCCTGATCTGCAACATTTTTCCAGCACTCCTCCAAAAGCTTTCGGTGGGTTTCACGAAACGATGTACTGGTCCAGGCAAAAATGTCGAAAGCCATCAATGAGAGTGTTGGGTTTTTGCTTTTGAGACACAGTTGAATAAGGCGATCGGGATGGAGGAGCTCGCAGTCGAGCTTCTGCTCTGTTTCGATGGCGAGACAGGGATCTAAAATGGCTTCCTATAAGAGACAATGGATCAGGTGGAACCATCAGGAAACGGACAAGATCAAATGAAGAAAGAGCTTGATGCTTCTAAGCTAACATGTTTAACACAGCTACACTGCTACATCAATCACATTCAAATGTTTTGGGTAGTTCCCATGCCTCAAAGGGCAGACGAGCATTTTTTTAATCTCAATTCTATGAACTATTTCCAGAACGGCAAGTAATTAGAGATGAATTCTTCTCTTCTTCAATCTCTATTAGTTAAAAGTGAAGTAATTGAAGTTTTGGTTCCCCATTTAAGATTGAGTTGATATTCTCAACTTTGCCTTTGGTGCTCTAAAGCATAACATTAAGAAAGCATCATTAGTTCTGTAGTTTTAAGATCAGAATAAAACAAAATTCAATAGTTCAACGGAAGTTATAGAACTGTACATATCATATGAATATGATGAGATGAAATCATTAAAAAATCAGAGCTGACAAAGATGTAAAGATTTAAGCAGGTTCAATCAAGTTCACCATTTCAAAAAGAAAACCAACCTGTAACTTAAGTATCTTTGCATCAGCCTCAATGCGCATCAACTTACTATCATACTCGGTATTTCTACCTGCTGCTGCTAAATAAAAAACAATGTTAATAAAAATAATTGGGTTTCAGAAGCGGCCAATCACCATTAAATATCAGAGAATAACGATACTAACATACATAGAGGATATATCTTAAGTGATAGAAATACTGAAATAAACATTTTATCAGTATTTCTTCAATATTGAAGAATCACATAGCACAGAGAAAAACTATTGAATCACTTTGGCAATACACATGCTCTTAGAAAGGGAGTCCATTTCTAAGAGCTGGTAGGCATAACTTACAAGCAACATCTAATGAGGAATCCTGGAAAGATCGACTCTGATACTCGATATTTTTTTGGATAAGAACTCTGATATTTAATGAAGTCAGCTAGTCGACTAAAAGATTGACTGACGCATTGAGAGAGGGAGATTCCTCCCTTCATGCGAAACGAAGATTTCTTATATAAAATTGTTTTTTAAAAAAAGGTCCTCTAGCAATGCACAAAATAAGTATGTTAAGAACTTGAGAAAGGACACTAGCAAGGAAATGTACAAAGCACTGCAGGAAAGGATAGGATTAATACATGACCAGAGATGAGCAATACCTGCCATTAAAGCTATCTTTGAGAGGTACAAAAGGCGTTTTCGATCTGCCAATTTTAATTCCAAATTACAACGGTCAGATTCAACTTCTGTCTCAACTTCAGGGGGTGACACAGGTCCATCACCTTCGGACAGAGCTAATTCGTGGAGAGTGTCTGAGGCGGAGAAAAATTGATGAAGGAACAACTCATGGAGCCACAAAAGATCTGGATGCTCCTTTAGAAATATCAAGAGTTCTTCATGGAACTCTTCTCCAAGTCTTAAAAGCTTGGAGAACTGTTTATTTTCATGAAGTTTTTTAAAAACAAAGTAGCTAAACCCTCCTTTAGGCCCCATGCTCTCATGCTGCATCACCATCCATGATAAACAATCAAACGCAAGCACCATATAACAAAAGGAATAACATATAAATTTGAAAAACCAAATGAAGCATTGAAATAACAGAAAACTACACACCATAAGATTCCTGAGTAGCTCTGAATCATTAAGGTCACAGCAGATACTCCATAAAATGTTGTAGCATTCATGCTGTTTTGCAACAGCTAACAGACGTGATGAATGCTTCCTGAGGCTTTCTACCCTTTGCTCCACCAAATCTCCCCTAAAATCCTGCAAAACCATGTGTTTCAATATGAACTCAGATCTAGAACCTTGGTCACAGGAAGCACATAACACAAGAAAATAACCTTATGCTCAGCTTCCACGGAATCTTTTATTCTTTGATAAAGAGAACTGAGGAGTGAATCCCTTCGACTCCAAAATTCATGTAAAAGACCTTCAGTTTTTTCTCCGCGCTCTGCCTTTGCAGTGACAGCTCCAGCATGTGACTCAAGAAGAACTTCAGTTAATAGTTCCAGGTAGCAATATAAATCAGATTTCGCAGATGTATCAAGCTCAGAAACTTCATTTAAAAGCTGAAGCATGAGAGAAGCAATGTGCCATAGCCCATTCCGCACAACCAATTGACTGTACCAAGGTGTTAGGCCTTCAGATGGAGGATACCATAACTGATGCTCGTTTCTATATTGCACAGCCGCACGCATGATAGTAACACATGCTTTAGAGATTTCACAAGCTCTCTGGTTCTGGACTGCATATGATTCGTCTGCACTTACCACATAATCTAGCTGCCTTTCTAAACAATTAAATACTTCTTCTAATTCAGAAACTTTACTGTAGAACACTTCAGTATTATCTCTGTCCATTAGAAGAACAGTGTTTCGGCGAGCTCGCTCTCCAACAAATTGAATAAGATCCCATAGAGCACCTGACATTGGAGTTTCTGAATTAGAACTCAAGGAACCAAGTCCATTTGAACGGTTTTGGAAAATTGTGTTCTGCAGTTCCCTTAACTGAATCATCGCAGCAAGCTTTTCTCCATGCCCCAGGATAATTTGCAAAGAATTTCCTACACACCAGGACCAGAGTTTAAGTTCTTTAATTTGAATTTGAAATTCTATCTTCACAAGATAACCTTCCCATTCCAAGAACAAAAACTGAGTCCCAAATCAAACCAACTCCAATGTGACTTCAACCAATGTCAGGAAAAATAGAAATTTCTTGTCCTAGAATAAACATCTGAAGACACAGAAAGAGCATCTAGACCATTTGTGCCAATATAAAAAAACAGATAACAAAAAACATATATGAGGTGAAAATTTAACAGAG